GCCGTTCGTTGACGAACTTGTGGTCATCTTCCTTGTCTTCGCGTCCGGTGTGGTATATGTCCATCTTGAGGGTGAGTAGCGGCAGCTCGAGCGCACCAGTGATGAAAGTGAAAGCTTCCGAAGCGTCTTGTTGACGGACCTGTGCAGCATCTTCCCATCCGCACTTGGCAAGCGAATCCTGGAGATGCTTTGTCTACGATGTGCGTTAGCCACGAAGGAGTTGGATGACGAGGTAGGTCGTACCAAATCGACCTTGATGAGCTGGCCACTCCTCAAGAGATTGACCCATAAGCGCAAGACAGCCGCCAATTTCTTCCTTGGCTCATCCTCAAAGTTGTCGTACAACATGGCCTCAAAGCTGTCGAGACGCGCGAACATGGCAAACAGCAGTGCGTCCAGATAGCACGTCACCATGTTCCGGTTTATGGCGCCCAGCATGGTCACGTCAGGACTGAAGTCCTTCAGCTCGCCTTCGAGCGATTCGTTGGCGAGCACTAGAAGATCGTAGGCTTTGTCGATGTCGTTGGGATGCCAGGCGAGGGCATGTTCGGCCTGTTCCTCTCCCATGCTGGTTATGCCGGCGCCTTGTAGGCGTGAAAGGAGCATCTTGACCTGCAGCCGGTTAGCCAGGTTGCATGCAGCCTCGTCCCCCCGCGTACCTTCTTCTCGGACTCATTATTCGCTGGCGGTCTGGGACCTTCGCTCGTGAATATTCTGTAGAGGTCGGGCGAAGCATTGGTGGATTTGGACTGTAGAGACACATAGTCAGAAGAATGCGATGTTGAAGGTGGATCGGCGTTGGGTGTAAGAGAAGAAGCACGGCATGGTAGCTTCTGGTGTAGAAATAGAAGACTATCCTCTACCGATGTTCGCAGTACAAATGGGAGCTTGTGGTACAGCGTCTCGATGCCGGCAGACAAGCGCCGCTGGCAGCTGGGCGAGTCTTCCGGCAGCGCAACGGCGGCAGAGCATAGCAAAGGACTTAGAGAGTTGACAGAAGCGAAAGAGCTCAGGCGTACTTTGGTATGGGCGTGCTTGGACGCGCGCTTCTCATGATGCTTGTCGCGCCGGCTGAGAAAGCGTGACATGCCGTTCATGGTGGTGGACGGTGAAGGCGAGACCCATTCAGTGAAGGGAACGCGGCGGTGGGTAGCGGGGCAGGCAGCGAGCTTGGGTTCGGTGGTGGAGGAAGGTGCAGACGAGCCCTGAGCCCGGTGGTCGGTGGGGAAGCGAGCGGGTGTTTGGGGGCTGGCTGGCGGCCGCTGGGAGTTTGTCGGTGAAAGCGCAATGGTGACGCGCGGTCAAAGAAGCGGCCGACAGACAGTGACCTCAACGCACGACACAAAAAGAAAGACACGAGCACAGCATGTCCCCGATGCCGATCAGCCGCATCGTCGCGAGCTGACGTCCGACCTGGAGCAGTGGCAGGTGCGGACGAGTGGGGTAGCCCTATTGGCTAGCTGCGGACCCTAGAACCGCCCATCCCTGCCGCCCTCGCGTCTCGCGTATAGCGTATTCCGAGGAAAAGTCCGTTCGAGACGCTGTCGCATGCTGTGAGGCCCGTACCCACGACGACGCCGCATCACACACCCATGGCACTGCGCGAGCTGCCATTCCGCACGGCCACGGCCCTCTGCAACAGCACCAGGCCCGCCATCCGCGCGGCTGTCCCCCTGTGCCGCCGCAATGCCTCGTCCGAAGCAGTCCGAGAAATTGAAGACGCATCATCATTCGAGGTCCCGCCGCCATCGCAGGAACTGGCAAAGAACTACGACCCCGTAGCGCGGAGTCGGCTGCGGAGGAGAGGGAACAAGCAGCTGCCGCCAAGCAGGTACGGGCGTTGAAGCATGCACCAGCAGACACAGGCTCATACATACCAGATACCAGTACCGATCCCCCAAATACTACCGCGGCCCTCTCCACCCCCACCAGCCACCTCCCGAGTCGGATCCCTCTTCGCGACTCTTCCAGCCTGGACCCTTCAGCCTGTCCCGTCTCGAGCAAACCTACCAGAGCAAGATCGCGTCCGATCTCCTCACCCTCACATATCAGCACTACCCTCCCGGTTACCGCGCTCCCAAGACGGAGCAAAGACTACGAGAATGGACCGGCGACTCTCCGTACTTCAAGAACCGCCCCCTCAGGCCTCCACGAGGTAAAGGTGAGGTACTCCGGCTGCTTCAAGAGCCCCGCACTTTCCGCAACATTCCCAAGATCACAGGCGTCACAGTCCACTCCATGGTGCCGGAAGCGCAGGAGAACAGCGGGAATCTGCACGTCGCAGGTATGATCCTGCAGGCCATCAGCAATGTACGAGCCGTGTCGCACAAGGCGAGACACAATGTCGTTGGGTGGGGCTTGCGTGCGGGCAGATATGTCTCGGTGACGGCCAAGATGGAGCGGGAAGATGCGGAGCACTTTCTGACAAAACTCATCGATGTGGTCCTGCCAAGGATCAAGGAGTGGAAAGGCGTACCAGGTTCGTCTGGGGACGGACACGGTAACATGAGCTTTGGTCTCACCCCAGACCAACTTGCCCTCTTCCCGGAAATTGAGGTCAACTATGATGCGTGAGTCTGCTGTCCTCTATTAATCTGCGCTCCGACTGACACAGTTCAGATACCCACCAAAGATGATTCCCGGTTGCCACATCACCATCCAAACCGATGCCACCAACAACAAGGATGCACGTCTACTTCTCCAATCCATTGGAATTCCATTCTACGGCAAGCTCAACGACTAAAGGTAGATCTCCGACTATTGTGTATAAACTGTGTAGAACATGTAAGAATTATATACGTCTTACGATACATTGCATTCATCGCATGTATCCATCCTGCATTTAGTTTCTGTCCAGGCAAAGAAAGACTATAGTACACCGCGCAACGAAGAATGAGAATAACATGGACGGTTGTAGATTTGAGCTAGATGAAGCACAAAATAGGACTCTGTCTAACCATCATGTATACCCGCCGCGAATGTCTTACTATTGCGAAACATGCACTGCAACATGGTTGAATGCTGAGGACCGCGGCTTGAAAACATACGTCGCGAGCAACACCATGTTCAGAAGCACAGTACTGGGATACGCAGACCAAGCAGAATGTCCTTATGATTTAAATGTTCGGCCTCTTCATCTCGACATGAGACTGCAACCTATCGGGATGTGCCATCGATAGACGAGTTATTTTCGTGAAGTTGTCGGGCGCGGACGGACCCTGGCACGAGATTTTAGGTTGGCCAAGCTCCCCCGAAGAACTCCCGCCATGTCGCAGCTTCGCTCAGACCGCTAACCACCACTAAACCGACCCGCGATACCCTCCAAAAACCCCAGAGTTGCTTCCGTGACCACCATACCCGTCACGATGCAGGCAATCCGGCAACCCATGCGCTCTGCGCTCTCAAAGGCCGCTACCAGGCAGTATGCGACGGCTTCCTCGCAGTACGCCGAGACGATTAAGAACCTTCGCATCAACGGCGACACCAAGGTCCTGTTCCAGGGCTTCACGGGAAAGCAGGGAACGTGAGTGCGACTGCAATAGCGCGTGGCTGGAAGAGGGGCTAATGCAGGACCAGCTTCCACGCACAACAAGCCATTGAATACGGTATGCGCAACGGACCCGCTGATATAATCCTGTGAGGGGGAGGACTGACAGGGCGACAGGCACAAAGGTTGTTGGAGGCACAAACCCCAAGAAGGCGGGCACCGAGCACCTTGGACTGCCCGTCTTCAAGAACGTAGCAGAGGCCATGAAGGAGACTCAGGCTTCCGCTACTGCCATCTTCGTTCCGTACGCCATACCCCACAGCCGCATACAGACCATGCGATCTAACAGACTTGTAGCCCGCCAGTCGCTGCTGCCAGTATCGAGGAGGCTATCAACGCCGAGGTTCCTCTGATTGTGACGTAGGTGTACACATCAAACTCGGATACTTGGAAACTTACAACCGACAGTATTACTGAGGGTATCCCGCAACACGGTATGAACTACAGACATGGTCAACGAGGCACATATACTGATTGATGCAGACATGGTCCGCATCACAGACATGCTCAAGACACAGAACAAGTCTCGCATGGTCGGTCCCAACTGCCCCGGTATCATCGCTCCCGTACGTTCTTTGCCTACCTCTTCCAGTCGGGGTGTGATGTTAACTTGAATAGGGTCAATGCAAGATTGGTATCATGCCAGGCTTCATCCACAAGCGCGGCCGCGTCGGTATTGTTTCTCGTTCCGGAACCCTCACATACGAAGCCGTCAACCAGACCACCCAAGCCGGCCTTGGCCAGTCACTCGTTGTCGGTATCGGCGGTGACCCCTTCTCCGGAACCAACTTCATCGACTGCCTGAATGTCTTCCTGAAGGACGAGGAGACTGACGGTATCATCATGATTGGTGAGATTGGTGGTTCCGCCGAGGAGGATGCCGCAGACTTCTTGAAGGAGTACAACACTGCCAACAAGCCCGTTGTCAGCTTCATCGCTGGTATCTCTGCACCGCCAGGCAGGAGAATGGGTCACGCTGGTGCCATTGTTAGTGGTGGAAAGGGTGATGCCAACTCCAAGATCACCGCGCTTGAGGCTGCTGGTGTCACTGTTGAGCGCTCCCCCGCCAAGCTAGGATCAACTCTCTACGACCAGTTCGTCAAGCGCGACTTGATATAAGCAGTCATAACGATGTTTCATTGAACTGCTTGAACGTGCCGGCTTGCATATTGCGGCTGCTGCATTAGGTCCATTGTACATTTTAGTCATAAGAGCAATCCATCGTGTGTGCATCTTCAGGCCATATCCTCTCTAATCATGGTTTGGCTTGCTATCAAGGTTCTACTGAGTAATGTGCAGATATCGTGCTGACGTGCATGCAGCCCTCTTTTCACATGCAGATCCTGAACCCTGCTTGGGCGTGACCCAAACTAATCATTTTCGTCGAGTTCCCCGCAAACCTCCGAGCCGCATCCAATTGACTGCACTCTGCAATCGCAAACACAGCAACAGCATGTCGAAAACAAAGACCAAGCGCGCCCGTCGCGAGCTCAAGCGCGAAGGTGAGAAGAAGATCTTCGCGTTCCACAAGAAGAACGCGAAAGCAGCGGCCGACTCCAAACCCACGGCAAAAACTCCAGCGAACAAGAAGCAAAAGATGAGTGCACCAAACGCAGCAGCAGCATCCACACCTGCAACGACGCCCGCCCACGCGCAACCCCCAAAGAAGAAGCACAAAATCCCCTTCGGCGAGTACGACCACATACTCCTCGTCGGCGAAGGCGACTTCAGCTTCACGCGCTCCCTCGCCATAGAACACGGCTGCGCAAACGTAACGGCAACGAGCTACGACGACGAAGAAGACGTCCACAGCAAATACCCTTCCTTTAGAGAAATCCAAACCGAACTCTCCTCCCTCACACCGCCCGTCCCCCTCCACCACGACATCGACGCTACAAAACTTTCCAGCTACAAACACCTACGGTGTAACCGCGACGACGACGATGACAACGACGAAGAAGGCTGGGACACAATCGCCTTCATGTTCCCGCACACAGGCGGTCTATCCACCGACGTAAATCGACAAGTGCGCGCCAACCAAGCCCTCTTGGTATCCTTCTTCAAATCCTGCCTTGACACCTCGAATCCCAAACGGCGGCTACAAATCCTGCGGAACCAGGACGATAACAAGAAAGGCAGCTCGCCCCAGCAACCCATCCGCCCTTTCCTCCGCATGGGCGGCCGGATTATCGTCACGCTGTTCGAAGGCGAACCGTACACGCTGTGGAATATCAGGGATCTGGCGCGCCATGCGGGGTTGAAGGTGGTGGAGAGCTGGCAGTTTGATTGGAGCCAGTATCCGGGGTATCATCATGTGAGGACGCTGGGGGCCATGGAGACGGGGTGGAAGGGCGAGGATAGGGCGGCGCGCATGTTTGTGTTTGAGAAGATCCCGCTCGTGGCGGATAGTGATGAGGAGAAGGAGATGGCGAGGCAGGCAAAGGTGGGCAGGGGCGGGCGGCTGCCGAGTCAGAAAGAGGCGATGAAGAGGGCGTTGGAGGAAGATGAGGAGGAGGATGAAGACGACGACTGAGCTGGAGATGGCGGATACGCGCACGGTTGAGCAATGCCTCCGGCGCGGAACAAGTGCATGCTTGCGGGCGAAACGTAAAGTGGTCATTGAGCTTAGGAACAACACCCAAGGCCTTGAGGTCCTTCCCATCTACACATGAAAGAATCAGGTACGCCGACCTATACCGCGCCGAGCAGATTCCCACACCAAAACACCACGCTATACCGGACTATCATGCAAATGCCGCTAGAAGAAAGAAAGAGAGACAAAACATCACATAACATAAACCTTTCGGACCTCGCTCTCCGGCCACTGCTTGCCGCTCAGTCCTTCTGCCGGATCCCTTACGAATCCCTCTTCCGTGCCAACCTTCTCGTTGAAGACGCGCAGTCTCTCGGAGCCGTAGATGCGATGGTTGGGCAGTACTACGGGACTGTCTTCAACGATACTCTTAGTGTGGAGGGCGTAGGGAACGTTGCGCGCCAGCTCGTTGAGCTCGGTACTGCAGATTGGGCATACGGTTGTGGTAGAGGAAGCGGCGTTTGTGGAGGAGGGTGTGTAGGCGGAATGACAGGCGGGTGTCTTGAGCGCGGAGAGACCGGCGCTCAAGGCGACGTGGAGGAGCGGCCGCGGGGGCAGGGCGTACAGGGTGTGATGAGTCGCGACGAAGCAATCGGCTAGATGCGACCACCGTGATGCCGAGTAGAAAGACTAGAAGGATTGTTAGAGTTATAAAACATCAGCGGTCTGGGGAGACTCACAGCATAAGGCTCCACCTCATCCCACGGCCTATACGCCAACATGCCCGCCGCCCTCCTCATCAATTCGAAATCCCCACTCGTACTCAAATACTTCTTAGCATGCGCCCTCGCTTCCATCAGCTTCGTTTCTCCACCTCCGCCCCCTATGCTGACTCCATGCATACCATCATCTTGTGTCTCCAACCCATCCATACCGCTCAACCCGGCCTCGTGTCCCTGTCTCACCAACTCAATATATTGCTGCAGCCTGAGCTCGAATTCGAGCAGGCTACCCCCCTTCTTGAGTTCTTTGCCATGTTCCTTGCACCACTCAAGCGCCAATGTTGTACTCATGCCTTCCCGTAAACTCTTCTCGATTTTGTGACACGCAACGAATGCATCCACATCCACGAGCTCGGTGATTCCTTTGCTCTTCGCCAGACACGCTGCGCTCTCTGCATACCCCTCTCTTAGCAGGTAATCCACGAGTAACCGGCTTAACCGCGTGCGAGACCACTCGTCGTATTTGACGTCGACGAGACTTTGCATTTCGTACAGGTCTTGCAGATGTTGTAGGCGCGCTTTTGTGGAGCGGTGGATGCGCGCTTCTTCTTCGTGGAGGTTTTCTAGTTTGCGCTTCAGGTTGTGCATCTTGCTTATCATGGTATCAATAGAGACGAGTGTGGCTTCTGGGGAGGCGTTCTTGGAGGCGGCTTTGGTGGCGGCGGTTAGAGAGGTGGTGAGTGCGCTGGACGAGTGTTCGATGACGCGCTGGGCGTTTTTGAAGTTGCGCCGCGAGAGCTCGTAGGGCATGCGCAGGAGTGGTTGGTCCTGTGATTGTGTTAGTAGGTAATACGGTATGTCTGGGTGGCCGGGAACGCTTTACGAGGAGGAGATGCGACTCCGCATTGAGCTTTGTACTTGTGAGCTCCGCCATGGCGGGCAGAGAGCGAGAGGAAGGAAGGAAAAGCTTCGTGTAAGAGTCGCTGTATTCCGGGTTGTCGCGGTTTCAGATAAATACAGCGGGAGCGAAGGTCTCGAAGAGTAATGGTATGAGAGTGGAAAGATGGGAGGCTTGGTGTAGATGCTTAAGCTCCACTATCGCGGTGGAAGCTTGCGGGGGTGCTCGCTCGTCACAGCTCATAGCTCACCAATAGGCACGTGCCGAACATGTACCTACCGATAGCCACATATCCGTTCTACGTAGCCTCAAAACAGCTGTCTGCACATCCTTCTTCTCGATTACACGCATGTCAAACGTCCTCTGTCCACCGGAAGCATCATGTACATACACGCACAAATACATCATCACAACTATGCGCACGACCCTTAGCATCGCAAGCAGCACCCAAAATTTGGAAACAACAATACATGCTTCTATGTGATATCATTCTGATCGTAAGGCAACTCTAAAACTCCTCTAAGACCCAATGCATCATAACGCATAATCCAGATGCCTCTACCCATGCAGAACGACACTGACGCAGGAAGCGATGAGCTGCCGGCCTACTGCAGAGGTATCCTGAAACCTGCTCTAAGGCCATTACTTTTGTTGTACCTGCGTTCCACAGCTCGAAGGACGCATGCAACTTGCGAAACTATCCCCAAAATCCGCTTAGAGAGCACCAGTCGACGCCATCTTCTTGCGGAGATGGTCCTTGTACTCGCCAATGGTTCCGTCCCACCTGCGGACGGTCTTGTGCTCGCACACCATAATGTCCTTCGCGATCTTGTCAAGCAATCTATCCATTGTTAGCAGGCTGATCAAGTAGGAGAGTAAGATTGAACATACCGGAAGTCGTGGGAAACAACAACGACACCACCGCTGAAGGCGTTGATGGCATCCGCCAAACTGTCAATAGTAGGGATATCCAGACCGTTGGTAGGCTCGTCAAGCAACAACATGTTGGGTCCCTCAATAGCGAGCAGAGCGAAGACGATACGGGACTTTTGACCATCGGACAGAGTGGCCATCTTCGATGTCTGTGCCTCGCCAGTCATACCGTAGCGACCGAGCTGTTGGCGCCAGTATTGAAGATCCTGGCTGATGTGGTGGAACTTATCACGGACGAAGTCAAGGGCAGACTTGGTGAGGTCAAGCTGTTCAGCAGAGTGCTGGCTGTACACACCGAGCTTCAAGTGAGTGTGGCGCGACACAACACCGGATGTGGGGCTGAGCTTTCCGGTGAAGATGTTGAGAAGGGTGGACTTTCCAACACCGTTGGGTCCGACAAGAGCTGTTCGAGAGTCCATGTCGACACCGAAGTCCAGGTTCTCGTACAGGTTGTCCTTTGCATCTCCAGAGTAAGAGAAGGTAACGTCGTCAAGCGACAGCACAGGTGGGGGCAGCTTTTCGACGTCGGCAAAACGGAAAGTGAAGACACGGTCAACAGCAACGGGCTCGATCAGACCATCGGCCTCCATCTTGTCCAGAATCTTCTGGCGAGACTTGGCTTGCCTGACCAAGTTGGCGTAAGTACCAGCGGAAGCAATGAACTTCTTGATGTGCTTGATCTCGTCTTGCTGCTTCTCGTAGGCCTTGGTCTGGTTGACCTCCTGCTCGGTACGTGTCTTGTGGTATGTGTCGTAGTTACCTCCGTAGTAGAGGAGCTTCTTCTGACGCATGTCGATCATGTTTGTGCAGACACCGTTCAAGAAGTCCATGGAGTGGGACACGAGAACCAGGGTGCGCTCCCACTTCTTCATGTACTCCTCGAGCCACACACAGGCCTCCAAGTCCAAATGGGCAGTGGGGTCGTCGAGCAGCAGCAGGGCGGGCTTGACGAACAGCGCCTTGGCGAGCGCAACACGCATACGCCATCCACCGGACATGTCCTTTGTCTTCTTGTTGATGGTGACCTTGTTGAAACCGAGACCGGTAAGAATGAGGGATGCGCGGGTGTGGAAGGTGGACGGGTCCATGTCTTCTTGACGCTGGTATAGTGTTAGTGGTGTGCCGCACTTTGATGTGGCGTGTACATACCTCGTAGATGTCGTCAAGGAGGGGGCTCTCGGGGCCGTCCTTCTCAAGGATATCCTCAGCCAGCTTCTCGAGACGGGCCAGCTCGTTCTCAGCCTCGCGCACAACCCACTCCAGGGCACCCAGCTCAGTCTTGGGGGCACCCATGTTCAGCAGGTAGATGTCGATGTGCTCTGGGAAGGGGAACTCGCGCTTGTCGATGGCCTTGAGCAGGGTCGTCTTTCCGCAACCGTTCTCACCCAGCAGACCGTATCGGCGGCCGTAGTTGATCTCGAGAGTGGAGTCGTTGAAAAGGACCTTTCCGTGGAACACGAGCGATGCAGAGATGATCTTGACATCGCGCGACTGCTCGAGCGAGGCAAGCACACCGGTGGTGACGCGGTCGGACAGACCGTGCTTGTCCTCCTGCATGGTCAGCTTCTTGACCTCCTCGTTCAGCTCGAGGTCCTCGGCCTCGTCGCCGTTCTCAGAGTTGGCCTTGGAGGCATTCTTGGAGTTGGCCTTGGACGACAACTTGGACGTGGCCGTCTTCTTGGGCTTCGCATCGCCGTCGGCGGCGCGCTTCGCCTGGCGGGCAGCTTTTGAGGCGGAGACCATGGTGTCTTAGTGGTTTATGGGTGAAGACTCTGGGGTGGTGGAGGGAGGAGGAAATTTCGTAGGGTTGGGATCAACGTCAATCTGTGCCCCGCTAAGTCTCTTATCGATAGGTGTCGATACCCAAAGGTTTCAGTTTCGCGTCCTGTTCAAAGCGCGACACTCGGATGTGAAAACGAGTGGAGTGATGAAGCACTGGAAGTGGTGCAGAAAGAGAGGATTTGAGAGTAAGAAACGGCCAGGGCTGGTCAAACAATGCGACCCTGTGAATCAATTTTCTTACTTGTGGCGAAGGCTGCGCACGGCCAATGAGCGCTCCCCCACCATCATCATAGGGCAAGTAAGGCGCTCAACGCTCGAGGCTGACACCGCTACATGCATCTTTCGTTAGGATACTAAGTCACCAGACAGGTAGCTAGGTCCAGATCCGGGCGAAGCAAACAGTGACTTCGTATGTATTCTGTACGAATATGTTTTCTATGTCTCCAGAAGTCCCGCCATGTGCCCCTCAACGGGAAAGTACGCCATGCGCATCTTTCTATGTATATTTAGGTATGCGATGAACATGTGCTGCTCAGATCCCGTTTTGGTTCAAAGTTACGAAACGATGAAGAGTATCGTTAGTATTAGGCATCACCTGTGTGGTTGTTGAGCATTGTGGATACCCCACGAGAGAGCGATGATCGTCATAGTTCTTATCTTCACCA